ATATCACGAGATTTAAAACAAAGAAATCGACTGCAGCACTTTACTTGTATCTTACATGACCAAGAAAGCCCGTAAATAAGTTGTTCCTCACCTGTCGATCGTATCCATAGGTCCCTTACGATCCATCACGAAAACATATGAACACGAACTTCTATAGTCGGTTGCAAGCTAAGAAAAAACCGGAAATGCCACTCAGAGGAAAATGCAATCCCACGCCGAAAACGCCAGCCAATCGTTTTCATGACGTCACGATTCCGTGGCCCAATCGCGATCCTTTTGAAAAAAAAAAAAAAAAAAAAAAAGCTCAACATGGCTGCTGGCCTAAGCAACGCGACGTTAGTTTCTCGTGACAATTATTCTGGTTTTTTGCACCGTGTTTTACGTGCCCGAGGTTACGCCACGAAATCTTAATGGTATCGGCTTGCGTTTGCAGCAGTTTTTGTGCGACAACGTGAGAATCCAGCGACGCTATCGCCAACGAAAATTTCGAAGCGGGCGCGAGGCTTAGCACTGCTGAGAGGTATGTTAGACGGTATGTTAGACAGTATCTTGGACAGAAAATGAATTGGGAAGACGGTACATTGGACACGACTTTCTTTCTTTACTAAACAGCTATTTCGTTGACAAAAACGTATTCTAACTTATTTAAATGTCCTGAATGAATTAAATAAGTATTGTAGTAGTTTAAGACACGTTTCCTGGAGGAAGAAAAAGCAACGTTGCTAGCGAACTACTTTCTCGACGGCGGAGGCACTTCAGATGGGCGCGATGCGCTTGTGGGTGGAGCTAAAAGATTGTTCTCAGGTTGCATCCGACTACAGAAGTCTCTCTCTCGACAGAGAGAGGTCATCGGCCAGTGTCATCGTTGACTAGTTGCCACACAGGTCACTCAAACCGTAGCAGGACTTGTTTCGCGAATCTACGTAAATGCCGTAATATCAAGCAAACATAAAAAAAAAAAAAAAAAAAAAAAAAAAAAATTCAACTACCCAAAAATGCGGTGACGACAAAAAAAAGAAGAAAAAGGACGGGTAGGAGGATAAAAGAACCACACACACACACACACGCGCGAGAGCAGCACCAGCAGTGTGGGACGAGAGGCTTAACATTGTCGATCCATCTCTTGCTCGTGTGCGCTCCCTCCTGCGGCGATGACTGGATTTATTTTCGGTTCCTTTTTCTTCTTAAATGTCTCAGCGCACCTTTGCAGACAGTCAGCAGCTCACACGCAACGTAAATTTACCAGAATCAGAGCCCGTATGAGGGAAAAAGATGTCGCATCGGAAATTCGGAGCCGGTTCATTCGAAAAGTGTGGGAACTGCGCGTAGTCCCGCGGTTACGGGGTTAATCATAAATATAAATTTGGTACTTTCAACCTTGGTAACGCGTTGTATATTACGTTTATATTATATATATATAATAAATTGTACGAGACTGCGCTTTTAAAACGTGTATTAATGTCGGATAAACGCGCACGAACATAACCGCGTCGCTCGAGAAGAAACATTTGTTTCACGTCGATACGCGTCGACAGCAGAAGTTTTCTCACGTAATTGCGCCATGGCCTTCCTTCTTCCGACATTGTGACGTGCCCACTCGGAGCGCCACGGCCTTATTTCTAGGAGGTGTTGGGCATACCCTCCTCTTCGCACCCCTCCCCCCCCCCCTCCTTCTCACGAGCTGCGCTCTAATTCATCATTACAGGAGATCGCAAACATATTTCATTTTTGTTTAAATCATTTTTAGACCGCACTTTACTGTCTCTTTTATTTGTTCAGACATTAGAAAAAGGCGGACGGGTGTGCAGGGTGGATACTTTTTGAGTACTGTGTGCACTATACTTTGACGGTTTCACTGCATGCGCGCCGGCTGAGTGACATCATATGTGGTTATTGTACTTTGGTACTGTTTCTGAGCACCTGTATGACCACTTAATTTCCACAAAACGGTGTTTGCAAATAAAAAAATCGAGATCACAAAACAAAATTAAGCATGCATATATTTATTTTTGCTTTCCTCGTTTTGGCAGGAGGGCCACTGGTTACCTTTTCTTTTGAATGCTACTGACGGCGTGTTCAAAGCACTTCTTCTTAACGACTTGGAGATGTGGACTTTCCTTTTTAACAACCGGTTTGAACCGGTTCACGTTTCGCGGAACCGTTAACCAAATCGTTATTTCGAATTCACCACTAAACCGAAACCAAACTGAAACAAAATGCAGAGCTACTGAACCCGAACCCGAACCGAACCGTAATAATGACCGGTTCGAGTCCCTGGTTTTTTGTTAGCATTGCAACATGCACGCGCACCAACATCCCAGAACATCCGCCCGCAACATTAGCGCGTGCTTGGTAGCGGTCCTTTTGGGCCAACCGTTTACTTCTATATTAGTCAGTTTCAGAATATGAATAAAGACCCCTGCGTTAGCCCTGCCTTCGACGCACGTAAGCTCTCCACGGACATCTGAGGCGGGCGTCAAACCAGCGCTTTCAGCACAGCGGAATGCAAAGGCACGGATGGATGTATGACTGTGGCTGAACCCTTTTAATTGAGCGGCGGCTTGCGCCACCTAGCTAATCCTTTTAGTTGAACAATCAACCAATCTCAAATTTAAAAGTACAGAAGTAAGTAAATAAAAAAAAAAAAATCACACCATCTTCCCGAGGGGAACCGTGGGGTGATGCGGAGCATCGTTCCATCACACTTCATCGGAAGAACGGAGTGAAGTGGAGTCAACAGCGGTGAACTGAACGCGCGCAGAAATTGGTTTGCTCTTTATGTTTATACAGCCTTGATGGAGATGCGCCTCAACGGGTAATCGGTCTCTTAGCTGTAGATGAAAAATTTAGCCAGTGCAGTACAACCGCTAACCTGGGATTCTTAACGTGCATCACGCAGTAGTCATCACACGAACGCGTGCCGGTACGAAACTCATCCAGATCGAAACGGGCGGGGGTGGCGGGGAATCGAACCCAGGAGGTTCCCACCGAAAGCTTTTCCACGCTCCGAGCTGAGACGCGTTAGCCCACTCGGCCACCTCCGCATGAACGCGCGCAGCGCGCTACCGCTGCTTATATTCAAACTTGAAGGAGAGGAAACTATACTTAGTTTCACCTTCAGTCCGAGCGCAGTGGATGCTACGCGCCGTCCCAGCCAATCCAGCGCCGGGGGAGTATCGCGTGATCTCGAGCTCCGCGTGTCGCTCCGCCCAACCACAAGGTCACGTGATACTCTCCCGGCGCTGGATTGGCTGGGATTGCTCGTAGCGTCCGCTGCGCTCGGACTGAAGGTGAAACGAAGTATAGAGGAGAAGAGTTGCGCCTGCGCGCGCGGTGTGAGTAGAAGCGAACGCACGCGAAGTGCACGCAGCTGGTAGCTGCGTACACTTCGCGCAGCTGTTGGAGAGAGAGAGAACGCACGCGCAGCGAGGAGAGTTGCGCATGCGTAGTGTGAGTGCGGACTACGACGCCGCGGGACATAGCCCGAGCAAGAGATGCTCCGCATCTAAAAAACAATACGGTTAAACCTTTTAACAGTATAACAGCACATGTACTCACACCGCGCGCGCCTGCGCGCGCGGTGTGAGTAGAAGCGAACGCACGCGAAGTGCACGCAGCTGGTAGCTGCGTGCACTTCGCGCAGCTGTTGGAGAGAGAGAGAACGCACGCGCAGCGAGGAGAGTTGCGCATGCGTAGTGTGAGTGCGGACTACGACGCCGCGGGACATAGCCCGAGCAAGAGATGCTTCGCATCTAAAAAACAATACGGTTAAACCTTTTAACAGTATAACAGCACATGTAAGTAGTTGCAGCGCCTTCTAGATGTGCCCGTGCAAACTGCTCTTTTCGGGGTGTCCCGCGCGCGACGTGAGCAATGAGAAGGCCGCTGCGTACCCACGCAAATATCTATAGCGAGCGTACATACGCATGGCTTGTTACGTTGCGTGGGTATGGCGCAAGCGTAGTGCGGAGCACGCAAGGTACGCTAAAGCAGAGTGATTCCGTTCGCCTCTTTACTCAGTGCTAACACTATGATTTTTTCACCACTCTCTCGTTGCCTGTCCAGCGCGAGTACCTTAAAAGCGGGCTCATACAGTTCGCAGTAAAGATAATGTGTCCCTGACCTGCACTACAGTAAATTACGGCTAAAGAAGGTAGGGCGAGGGAATGGAAGGCCGGGGAGGAGGAAGCAGACGGAACGACGGAGAGAGGGGGAATCTCCTTCTCTCTTTAGTGTTCCGTCTGCTCTCTCCCCCCCCCCCCCCCTTCCTTTGCCTTGCTCTACCTTCTTGAGTTACAACAGACTGTAGAAATAGGTTCTATATGTGAAAGCACTTGACGAGTGTATACCGAACTACATAACAAATTTCAGCCTACACATTTTAAAACTCGGCACAGGTGTATAGAGGTGTTCTGCTACGTGATCTATAGACCTTCTTCGCTTACTGTCGACCCCAGTCACATGATAGGCATATTCGGTATGGGCGACCAAAAATATTATAAAACATGTCAACCTGCAAAAAGTAAAAAAATAAAGGGGTGACAAAACGTGAATGGGTGACGGTTACGCTTACATCCTAAATGTATTCGATTGGCGAGGCGACGGCAACGGCGACGGCAACGGCGACGGCAACGGCGACGGCAACGGCGACGGCGACGGCCCACACTGGAAGTGACGATATTTCAAGATGGCGACGCCCTTGCGATATCGGTCTATAGACCAGCAAGTGGCTGTGACGTCACGCTACTGGTGTGGCGCTGTTGTCGGCATGGCGCATGTGCGGACGCTTCACTTGACGCAAATTTGTTTTTGCTTTTGCGCATGCGCAGTTCTCACGCCTGGTATGCGGAAACGCTTGACATTGTTTGTAAAGCAGCTTGTTGGAGTATAAAAAGACGGAACTAAATTAAAATGGCCTTTAGTAAAAATGGAAGCACCGGTCCTAAGTTTGGATTTCGCAGTCGTGTACCGAATAAAATGGGAGTGCTTATTATTTTCAGCTACTCCAATAAAATCTCCGACGGCATCGCTCCTGGGTAAGTTGATTGGCGTATTTTGATTTGTAATTTTAATTTACTCGTGCAATGCGCGTTCCAAAACAATCGCAAAATTTGACATGACAGGCAAAAAGATGCTACAAAAAAGAGGAATGTCCATTTTTCGCCCACTTTTTAACCTGTTCGCTTCAATACAACAAAGAGTTGTCTACGCAACTTTACGTGTTACTAGCTGATCATGGGTAAGAAACTATGATTCATGCCATAAAGCAACATCATTCATACTCCCTCTGCTTTAAATCAGAGTGAAATCATGATAAGTAGAAATCTAAATTACTTCTTTCTTTGCTATTTAACACATTTATAAATCACCTTCTGCTTGAGCATTTTCATTTCTTTTTTTGCAATAGCAGTATTTTTTTTCTATATTTACTTTAGTGGTTACATATAGAAATGCCGAGTGCTCGGGAAAAAAGAGAAGATTGCTTTCATACTGCAAAAACTAAGCTACGCATCACAGAGCGCTCAATCTTCGGTCATATAACGATAACAATTTGGAAAAGGAGCCAAAGTTCCAGAGTTTACACCCTTATCTAATTAAAAGTTATAAACAATATTTTTTTTTAACGGGAAATAGAGGCACTTTTCGGTGGCGTTTTGCCATTCGTCGCGTGTATTCACCGGCTCTGTTGGTCACCGATTTCTCACCGAAACATGTTCAAACTTATGTTTTACAAGTTTTGAATCCGTAGGATGTGAGACTTTGGCATCTTGGCGCCGACTGCTAGCATTACATTTGGACTGAGAAAAATACTGCTCTCTTTTAATCCAAACTCCGATGTATTGGTTGCCCGCAAGGATTGCGCCCCGGCCGCGAACCCCTGACCGCTACGACATCGTTTTCCAGCTCCAAGGTCCCCGTCGGTCGATCAAGACTGGCGCGAAGCCAAGCAAGAGGTATCCATCATCTCGGATTCGGAGCACCACAAGGGAATGACTAGAACACAGATATGTGCCTACGTAGTCGTTTTCATGACTGCTGTGAGTATCAGACATAATTTGCGCTAACCATTTAATCGTGGTGCGTCGCCACAAATCACATATCACATCTTTTCTTGTCAGGTAAACATGCGATTTGATCAGACGTCGTATCCAAAGCTCCAGTTTCGGGTGGTTCAGATAGGGACGACAACGGAGGAGGTAAAGTTGTTGCTCTTGCTTTTTTGAAAATGCATCATGTTTTGACATTTCTAGTCGTTGATGGCTTCAGAATTGTTTGGTGCATCGAGCCCTGTGCATCTTATTGACGTTTTTAATGAGATTTAATAACCCTTTATTGGGATTGTGGAAACAGCCGACAAGAAGGTTGAAGAACTTATCAAGACGCAAGAATCATCAACATAAGGAGATACGCCCTGCGTTTCCGTAATTTATTTTTGCGGTGAAAAACAAAACAAAAACAAACAAAAACCTTTAAGTTTTTTTTTTCTTTTGGTGAAGAGGGAAGACCAGCGAAGCTGTACTATGGTGGGAATGAAGTAATGGACGGCCGCAAGTCGACAAGCCAGGGTGGAAAGGCTCGACAGCTGCCACCATCTATGGGCGATGGCGGCAACCACGGTTGTCTGATTATCGCCGTCGCTCATAGATGGCAGTAGCTGCCCAGAGTTTTGTGTCATCATCTGTTTGCTAACCCTTAAGAGCTCCCTTGTAAAAAAAAAAGAACATGTGATTACTTTTTTTCTGGGAGAAGAGGACAGCCTCATTACAAAGCTAGAAACCAAAAAACACAGAAAACAATGCGGACCTTGTGTTCACGCCTTAATAGACCCTTTTCGAAACCCCGTCGAGCAGCATTGACGGTTGCAATTTCCTGGGCACGAAGCGTGTGATTGGATCCGAGTCATTGCCGAGCGCTGACGTCACATTCGTGTCCAACGGAGGCTCAGCGTGCGTGGCCAGACAATGGCGGACTCGGTTATTTGAGGCAGCAGCTACCAGATGGCGCACCCTTTTTAATAGGGTGTATTGCCCCTCGGTGTACACATTGGCACAGTTAGCTCGAACACACTGTCGCAGCTTCACTGATCTCGAATCATACACTTAACTGTCACAACAACTTGCACGACTCGGTTTGATGTGCTGTATGGCTCAACTTTTTACACTCCTAACATTGACAATACATTTTTCTTTCTAAACAAAACAACAATCGTTGATTCTCACTTCGCGTTAAGTATGCGCGCTTTGCAAGTTCGTTTACCTCACATCTCAAGTTGTTTTCAATCTAAAAAAGCTTGAAAACAGATTTGGTTCAATACTTTTACGAATACAAGGGGCATTTGTTAAGGAACAGTAATCTCGTGTTTGCTAAGTAACACAAATTTATTGCTTAATGTACCACAAAGCGAAAAAAAAAAGTGTTTAGACTTGTCTCGCATACATACATTCTGTTCCTGCTATAGGAAGAGAGGTCGTTCCTCGAAATACACGATGGATACGTGGAACCAGAAAATACACTAAAGAAAATGTTTAATTTTACGAGACAATATCAAGATAATTATCCCGACCTGTTTGTGGTGCTGACCGGGTAAGTAAAGCTTTCGACTCAAACCCAAAGAAATTCATTGACACCCCCCCCCCCCCCCCCCCTCCCCCCAAAGCTACTCCCTCTTTCTCCCTTGAGTTAAAACGGGGTGGCGACGGCAGTGTGCAAATGGCCGGTGAAACACTTCTGGTTCACATCTAGACGGCGGATTTTGCAGTATTTGGAAGATCAAGTTAGTGAGCTATCTTCGTGAAATGACCGCCGAAAAGTACTGTCAGTTGTAATTCACTATTTTGATAAAAAAATTAGGAGTACCAAATGAGAGGTTATCACGTGAACCGCACGTGTATCAGTGCTACGCGATAGGTCTCTGTCAATGAGTTTGTTGCCAAACAAAGAAAAAATGGGCGAATAGATCAACACGTGTCTCTTACGTCACATCACAGCGGTGCCTCTGTTGTCGGCATGACGCACGCTTCACGTCTGCTCACACCTGATGTGGCAAACGCTCTCTTGTCTGTAAAGAGTATACGTTGGCTATATAGATTCCACAGAGAAGGCTGTACTCAAAATATATTTGATCAACTGAGTAGCGGAACTTCATGAAGCACCCATGGCCAATGGCGCATTTGAAGATGACACGCACGTTCCTATATAAAAGGTCATAGCCTCCTATATACTGACAGTGCCTGGCTGATCGCCACGAGAAGCGGCGGCCGAAATGGAAAAAGTGGAGCGGCAGACAGCGTACGTGAGGAGAGCCACGTGACTGTCGCTCCGCTGCGGCGAGACGCCGAAACACACTTCTCCCGAGCGAACAACTGTGTTTCGGGTTCTCGCCGCTGCAAAAGCTCTGCGCTGGCGTCCAGGTTCCCCGAGAAATGATTCTTTGAGGCTCTCTGCTACCAGGTCCTCGTGCTCCAAATCTGCGACCGGGCATTGTATGGCTCCGTCGTCGAACTGCCAGGCCTTTTGAGTATAGAGGACGCTTTGACAAGCTTTATATTTTTTTCTCAATTCCCTAAAAAAAAAAGAAGAAAGAGTGACGAATCTATTTTATACACAGAATGTAGATATATTCTCTAGCTATAGTACCCCGCATATTCATCGCGCAGAAGTAGGCATTTAATGTGACGTGGCTGGGGCTTTTGTACGTCTTCCCCAAACAAGGTTCACACCTCGGTTCTCTGCGATTTCGTCACGACTTCTACAAGCCCGTAACCGACGTTCTTCTGTGACCCCCATCATCAAGGACGTTTCTTCATCTTTTCCCAAGTTTTATGCAGTTTTCTTTGTACACATCACATGTATGGGGCGAGTGACGGCCTTGCTGACGTATGACGGAATCAATGAGAGAGAGAGAGAGATTTTCGGGTTTTATGGCACAAAAGCTACCGATGGAATCAATGAGAAACCCGGCAACCTTCTTCGAGAAGGGCTTCCGAATACTTGAGCCACGCCATATATTAACATCCTCGATCTTTGTGACGATTTTGCTGAGAAGTGGCTTTGAAAACGCAGACGCGTTCCGGGCACCATTTTGGGCGCGGCCCCTTTGCCTTCCTGTGTGTGCGCGTGATATGTACAAAAGTAGGCTACTTGGAACGCGTCTCCAACTAATGTGTTTAGCGTCCTATGCGTCCTATGCGTTCTGCTTAAGTGATCAGTGTTTCGTGTTGACCTAAGTGCTTGAGTGAGACTTCCTGAAGTGATGTATGTGTTTAGCAGTTGTGGCAAATGTTAGTGATAGGAAGCGAAGCGGGGTTTTGGCTTTCATAGCGCGGGATGTTACTTCCGTTTTCTTGGGGTGTTCTCTTTGTTTTCTCTTTGCTGTCTCAGCGCTTTTTTTTTTTTTTTTCTGCTCGGGCGTGCAAATGCCGTCTTTTTGGAGCTGCAAGTTCCTGTAAAGCGGCGCCGTTGCTCTGTAAAGTGCTGCCAGATTAGTGATCGCGACAGTGAATCTTCGAACATCAATGACGCCCCGAAAGATGACGAGCTGAATGCTATTTGGTTGGAGTCAATCGGGCGTTCGCGTAGCGACAAACGTGTCCACGGGTGCTATTCTGGTCACAAACGGTCACATTCGTGTTTCTCGAAAACTCTTCCCTCCAACGAACCGCGTTGGCCACAGCGCGCTTGTTAATGCAACGCGTGGAACGTTCTCGAAACACGAAAGCAACCGTTTAGCGTGTTTCACATGCAGCGGTTTTGGCCCTAGAGCGGCGCGATTTCTGCCGTCGCGGCGCTCTGGCCAGCACCAGCGGTTGAGCGGCACGAACGCCGCGACGGCAGAAATCGCGCCGCTCTAGGGCCGATATCGCTGCATGTGAAAAGGGCCGCGCACACTAGCGAGAAAACGCGCGTGGCACGCCGATCGCGGGAAGACGCGTCCCGCATCCTGCAGACCACACTAGATAGAGTTCTGCCGCCGTGAATGTCACGTGACAGCACAGGAGGCCTCGCGCACTCTTGAAGCATTCGAGCGAACGCATGCTTTCCCGCAAGATCTCGAGGATTTTCGAGGCTTTCGAGTGGGCGAGGGACGCTTTTGCTCGCCGAAGATCGAGTCATGACAGGTGCAGATGAGCTCGTTCAACGCGATCGGCGCGCCGCGCGCGTTTTCTCGCTAGCGTAGGCGGCCCTAAACACGCTTTTGCCGTAACAGTCGTTTTTCGAGCTCGGACCGTGACGACAAGGTGACGTATGACCACGTCCGACATACGTAGCACATAGCAGAAGTCAGGTAACTAGATTAACTGCGGTATTACTCGACACACCCTACTCTCTGTTTCACTATGAGTGCGAGCTAGTGTGAGTGTAGGAGCTACGAGAACGTGCTCCGGGCTTTCAACGTCCCGGTCGAACAGGCACGCTTGCGCAGTGCAAGCCAACTTTTGTGCAAGCATCGTTTAGGGTGATGTGCTTGTGCTTTTAACTTCTGTTTCTATTGCACGAAGGGGAACAAACTTCGGGCAGGATACTAGAGCGTAGAAAATGGCAGCGATGCTTGTTGCGCAACGATGGCATGGGCTTGACCAACGCGCACAATGCCGGGTTTTCCGCGAACACCCGGTTGCCTTCGCTAGAAACAGTCGCCTTCGACGACTGTTTCTGACGACAACACCGCTTGTCGAAAAGCACCGTGTGATCGCAGTGTGACCAGCTGCGCGACGAGAGACGGCGACGATGAGCGATGATGATCGTCGAGCAGCAGCAGACTAATTGAATCGCACCGAGATTTTTCGCAGCGGGGAACTACAAGAGCGCGGTTGCCACCGATGATCACATAGCTAATGCCCAGTGGACGGTGATCAGAGCCGTGACCGCCGTCGCGAGTGTCGCTGTCAACCGGCTGGGAAGAGACGGCTGGGTCGACGAAACCCCAAACCGAGGCAGCTGAGGCATGTGCGAAAGAAGGCTTTCGTCGCCGCCACGACAAGCACACCGACGTCGTGGGGTGCGTTGGCTGAACCTAGAATCTAACTGAACCTTTTTCACCATCATCATCGGTCTGAAAGAGACCGTCACCATTCTAAAGGACTCCAGCACTTTGCGCAAACACCACTTTGCTATTAACAACAGGGTGGGAAGTTGAGTTAAAACTTGAGGGTTTCTAGCGCTTTGAAGTTTGTGCACGCTTTGTACCTATGCCTACAGTTGACCATTTGCTGCGGTTTGTAGCTACCGTCAATCACGCAATAAAATCCGGATGGGTTGCAGGTGGCATTTTGTTGTATCAATTAGACATTTTACCTTTTCACGCCATGTTTCTGGAGTTGCATCTCTGTCATCGGAAAGTCCCAAGAAACACTGTTCGATGCCATGCAATTAACTACGAACAGGTGCGTCTTAGGATTAATCGTGAGCTCTTTAGACAACAGTAGTTTAGTCTGGCAGAGTATGGTTACATTGTTACCCACTGTAGACGAAAAATTTAGCCGGTGCAATCTTGTGAATGGTTGTCATCCTCGTGACCGTGTCGTTCTGTGTTTGTCCCTTGTCCGTATCCCCAGTCTCGGGTTTACAAGTACGCTCAATTTACAGCAGCTTGCCTGCACTCTCACCATAGCTTCATAATAAAGATACCATTGTCCTACATTCAACACACGTATGTTTAATATAAAGGTTATGGTACCAATTAAATAGATTGTCGTTTCAAAAGTGACAGTAACTCATTGAAATTAAAGAGTAGTGTGGACTGGAGTTTTGAGGTTTGCCTGTCATGCAAAGCAAATGCGCGCTGTTGATTTATCACCATCAAGCATAAATAATAAGCGGAGGCAGAGTAGATGTGTGAAGGAAAAGCGAGCATATGTACTAAAGAAAGAACTGCTACGTAACGTGAAGAATGTCAGCAACTATCGTGCCATTGTGGTACGAGTTCAGTGGCAATGCACATGCTTATAGCAGCCTGTGAATGTAGGTTGATTACCATATGGTGTCATCCACTGGCGAAGCAGGGGGGTGGGGGGCGAGGGGGAGAGGTTTATGGGGCTTCGCCCCCCTCCCCAAATCCTGGCGGGCCCTACAATATACACACAAAGTTCGACACCATCACCCCCCCCCCCCCCCCCCCCCTCCGCACCACAAGTCATGAACATCCCAGTCACCGCAAACCCCCTCTGCCCTCACTCCCTCAAAAGTTCCTGGCTACGCAACTACTATCAACAGCACTCCATAGATAGTCAACTTTATCAGGATAAGCAAAATTTCCTCTATTTTATGCACCATATAGGCAGTGTTTATATCTTTATATGCGTGCAGGCAAAGCACACACTTTAGAAAACACTTGTGTTAAGGCTTCGTTCACAATGCAGTCCCCATCAAACTTTCAAGGCGTTAACAAATTCTGCAAAATAAATTTTCAACGAAACGCTTTAGTTTTGCAAAACGCTGGTAAACTTACATTGCGTTTTACATTATTCACCTTTGTCGTCCGATGAATCAGCAGTCAGCACTACACAAACCTCAATGAGTTTGTCGTTTGTTTTCTTGCCGTTGGGGCGATCGCTGGCGGTCGTTCGGCGGCACAATTCTTTCTCAGACCGTTGGCTGCTGCCTCCGTGCTCGCGGAACCGTTGGTCATTTTGTGTCAAGGTGAGGTTTTGAGTGTTGACGCATGGCAAAGCTGAATGAAGGTCTATTACCGTCTTCATAATCTCAGCAATGCTGCCGTTACGAGCCACAACAACACCACCTGTATAAAGTTTCATTACACCGGCCCAAATAAAAGCTAAGTCTTGCATCTCGCCGAATGTTATACGTTGAACGCCAGCTAACTGTCCTCTTCGATCCGGTTTTGCCGCCGAACAGGCTCATCCAACAGCAGAAGAATGGGGTTGTGTGTATGTTTATACAGCCTAGAACTTGGTCTGCCTCAACGGGCGACGAGTCTCCCAGCTGTAGATCAGCAATTCAGCCAGTGCGGTACAACCGCTAGCCTGGGGTCTTTAACGTGCACCACGCAGTAGTGATACATGACCGCAGGCCGGAACGATGCTCATCCAGATCGAAACGGGCAGGGGTGGGGATTGCACCCAGGATCCTGGGTTTCATCCAATAACACGAAAGCATTCGTGTGCGCGTTGATCAAGTTACCGATCGCGTGTCAAACCGCAGCCGCGGTCGACCCGACGAGCATCGCGGCCATGTTCTTTCGAGTTTATCTCGCCGAAAGTTCGGTCGTCGAGTTAAAACATTACAAATACTCCCGTGCATTGTTGTTCTTACGTCATTTTGTCGTCACAATCCGAACTGGAAAAGCGACTGTTAGCGGCAAGCAGAGGCTTTCTAGTTTCACGAACGTTCCCATGGCAAAGAGCGTTGAATCGTCACGCGCAATGAAGCCAATGGAATAGCGAGGTACCTATGCATAGACATTGGTAGGGACGTGTAAAAACGTGGAAGACGTTTTATTTTTTTTTGGCACGAGCTTTTTTGCAAATTACGAGGTAAGCATAAAAGACTGCCCGAGATTATGCGGTCGCGTCCATTTCTTCAGCGCCGAAAGAAAAGCTAGCATGGGTTATGGGAACTGCCATCGTAATCACTGCAGTGAGCAAAGGAAGCAAAGCATTATTAAAACGGCCCGTAAAAACTTTCCTGCATCATCCACACCATGTTCACAACCGGTGCCCTCTGCGTCGATCTCACGACCTGTCATATATTACCACAGAGACGTCGTCAGCGCTGTATCCATTTGGAGTCTCTTTCACAGGCAAACAGGACATTTCATTTGCAGCTTATATTCGCGACAGCTTCACAAAAGATGATCGGTGTCGCAGCTTTACTTCACATAATATTTTTTTCTCGTAATGCCATCCGTATCGTGCAGAAACAGGGAAAGCAACGATACAAACGAGGCAGAAACACCACAAGATCGTTACCGCGGTCTTCGCCATGTTTGTTTTAAAAGACCGTAGCGAAAGACTTCGAGAAAACAAGTTGAGATATATTAGGTAAATTTACTTTACGTCATAATTATTGAAATATTCTTTCGTATTTTACAAAATAATAATATTATTTTTCTCTGTTTCCCTCCATTTTCCGGAAGGTATCCTTTTCTCCATTATTCGCTCGTTCTAACTCAGGGAGGAAAGAAAGAAGATAACAGAAAGAACAGGAAGAAATGCGGGGATTTCTGCGCCCCAACTGCGTGGACACGTCATCGCGACGTAGGGGGATCGTCATATTCTAGCTGGCCGCGTACGTGAACCCGAACGCTGTGGGCGGAGCCTCAGGCAAGAATCATTCTAGTTTGAGGCTCCGCCCCTCCTTTTTCGAGACGTCACAACTCGAAAGGTGCCCGTTTGCGACCAGAACAGCACCCCAGGGGCCCTAAGCTGGACGCTTGGCGAAAATGACGGCGAGAAATTTGGTGATCGCGATTGGCCAACGCCACACTTGACCTTGGCGCCGGCCAATCATAGCCGCCGAATTTCTCGCCGACTTTTCCGCCAAGTGTCCAGATTAGGGCCCCAGGTATGTTCTCGTCCTTTCGGTCCCGAAGCCTTCGAGATTCGCACCGGGTGCACCGAACGTCCGCGACTGAGACAGGAGGCGGTCCCGACGCTCTTTCTACCCAGCGCGCCGAAGGGCTCGGGAGGCTCAGGCGGTGCGCCGTCTTCGTTGCTGGCAGCTGTTCTCCGCGGCGTATCTTCGCATGGCCGAAGACCCAGTTGCTAGCAGCGGTCGAGGAGCTGACGCTTCGATTCAGGGTCCATTTTGAGCGCAGTTCGCACAGAGACAATGTTAGTAGTGGCACAGAACATAGAAATTACCAAAGGCTGTGCACGGTCGAACTGGAAGCCCGCGCTCTCTCGCTTCCAGTCCGGCCGTGGGCTGTGCTACGCACACAAGACTCACCAGGGGTCGAGATGCTGCGAGCGTACATCGTTCAACTCCGCAGCCAAGTCAATCCAATAGCAGCAAATCCAAGAGCGAGGGGCGGGGACTCCGTGGGCGGGGCGTACTTCTCCTCCGCGCGGATTGAAAGAGCGGGAGTTTCAAATGTGGAGAGGTTTTGACTCCGACTAAATTACATCCTGTGGCGTAAATATTGCTAAAAAAAGATCGTGGAATGTCTGCTTTGTGACGTGCTTGTTCCAGTTAAACTGTTGAAAAAAAACCATTTATTTTGCAGTTACTTTTTAAGGCATTGTGAAGTATCCGAGAGATGGCCAAAAACTAAGAACTGGTACAGATGTGATTGTGGCGACACGACACATTGTTCGATGTTAATATGTTCACTTGCTTGCTTTTGTTTATAGAGGAACTGTTGAGTAAAACATCGTTTTAAAATATACAAACGTAACGTTAAGATAACAACACTTTCCAATGTTAGAAAAATGACAAAAACGCGTTACTGTTTTTGGGGAACGTGTGCAACACTAATAAAAGTAACCTTTTCTTAGATTAAAACCGCGTCTTGTTACCGAAAAGTCTTTATTTGTGAACTTCAACTTTTAATTCTGAACTAAAAAAAAGTCGCAGTGCCGTTTTACAGTCTCTATTCGAAAGAACTGATCCTTTCCTTTACCACAGGAGACAATTAGCAACCCTGAAAAACGGATCTCTGTCTAAGGGGATTGGAGGTAAGCTTCAGTCTTTCTTAATTTCGCGTTTTTCTGTATTCCTTTGCCACTCGGCGATGAACGCAGCATCGCCACCCGGGCACCGACTCGCGGTGTAAAAAGAGGGCTCTACGTTTTCTGTCTTTATATTTGTCGAATCCACGAGTGGTCTTCGGCATTCAAATGTCTCATTATACCTGTCTACCTTAAGAGTGCATATTCTGGTACAGAAATATAAGAGTGATTTTCTGGCACCTATATTAAAAGTGAGTGGTTGATCTCAAAAAATGATTATATATATATATATAATTCACAACCATGAAGCACAATAGAAGTGTCGCTGACACATGCTGTCAAACTAGCCCAACATTGTACCCTAATAGGATAAAAATCAGCACGGATACGAAGTCTTTGGTGAGCGCCGTGACGCCATTTCTTTACACGGGCTTATGTTTGCCCCACTAGGGGTGGGCTCGCTGGGAACGGGCCGCAGTTCGGTGGGAAAGCCTCCGGTGGCCCGAACTGGGCCTCGGGCCGGAGTTTAGATGCCCCAGTTCACGAATATACTGCCACGTGCATAACTAATGGTATATTCGGCTGTTCGCTTTTCAGCCTCTTGGAGTGCTCTGAAAAGCCGGTGTGCTTTCGGCTGGTCGATGCCAGGCGCTCCAAGTATATTCGGTGGTTCTTTCGGAGCGCTCTCGCCGTCCTCCGAATCGGAGCGGTTTGAGGCGCTCTGATTTGGAAGTGGGAGCGCGCGAGAGATCTGGGTGCCGACCGGTCACGTGACTTCAGCCATTCCGCCATTTTGCTTTTGTGTCGGAAGCGGACGGAGAGAACGCAGCTACTCCGCAGAAAGAGGGCTGCGAAAAACAGCTGTCAGTCTCGACCCCGTCACCGTTGTGTTGTGCTCCCCGAATTGAGCTAAAATATTGTTGAAACGAAGACGTTTAATGTTAAGGCTGGCACTGTCAGTGCTGCTGGCGAAGCTAGCAGACAGCGACAACACTAGCCGCTCGGACAACGACGACGAGGGCCGTGTTTACGAAGCGAAGTTTGCCGAGTTGTTTGACGCTAGAGGGCGGCTTGCGCCGTCCTCTAGTGACGCAGGCCACCCTCTATCCGCTCGGCTTGCCGCTATGAAAAGTCTAGGAGCGTTCGGCTGGGCGCGCCGATTCTCATGCTCCGATGCGGAGGCACTCCGGGATCTGGTAGCTCCGACTCGGATCATTGGAGCGCTCAAAAGTGACCGGCCGAATATACCATAAGTGGGCAGAGCGCGCGGCCCCTACGCCAGATACCCGGATTCGAATCCAGCAATTTCTGTTAGTTTTCGTTTCCGTTCCTGCTCCGAAAGGTTCCACAACAGGGAGACGAAGGAAGACTAAAATAAACATCTGGATTCGAATCAGGGCAGGAACGGAAAGGACAACTTAAATAAAGTGCGGGATTTGAACCGGGTATTTTGCGTGAGAGCCGCGAGCTCAAACCCGGTACGGTGGTTAACGAACTGGGTGAGCGTCATCGTCGGTTCATTGTCGGTGATAATCGGTGTTCGGCGATTGACGTCGAGCGAACCCCAGATGGCGTGGCGAAGCAGTCGTAAAACTATACTCCATTTCGTCTTGTGAAGGACTAATGCCGAATCCTACAGGCCGGCAGGTCCAATCACGAGCCTGTTAGAAACCACGTGGTATATTTGCTCCGTCATACGTATCAGCACGCCATGACGCGTCATGCGGAGGCGAGTTTTTCGTCTGCTTATCGATCCCTCGCGGCGGCTCTGTCTGCTTGATACTAGTGAAGACTACTGAAGGGTTTAAATACCTTGTGGAAGCGATGTGGGGAAGAAAACCCGGGATCAAAACCAGTTAAGGAATGAACACGAGTCGGCTCGAGTGTTCGACACGGGAGCGTATGTACGAACCACATGCGGTAAAGAGACACGGGTCCGAGTACGTACAGAAAGATTGGATTGGATTGTTTTAGCTAAGACAAAACGACTTTATGTCAGTGTTGTCTGCACGCCCTCCTACTTCTTAAAATAGTTGACATGTTTACGAAATATGGCCATCAATGTTTATGAAACTAAATACCATGTACCTTTACTTCACCAATATAAAATAGCCCGATATCACAACAGAGAACCATTTGCGTAAGATCAGTGCTCTTCGTGCTCTGTGTATCACAATTTCTCTCGAGCACTCTTTTGCAATGCGGATGCTAGTTTTTCTGACGTAGTGCTCCACCCGCAAGCCTTCGGGCCCTGGTCCATCGTAGTGTGAGACGGAGTTTAATGGAATAGCTGCAGGAGTTCCTGTCCTCGCTGTGATGACAAGTTTGGACCAACGTCAAGCTCCGCTGGTGCAGTCTTTTCTGGTCCAGGTACACAAAACGCTGCCAGTGAAACTGCCTCGGTTGGCTCGCTGAAGTCTTCAGCGTAGGCTATGGCCATATTCTTGGTCAGATACTGTGGCTCGTTCCGGAAGTTCGTAAGGAGAGCCACGGTACGGCCGTCTGGGAGCTTCGTATTGTTCCTATATCAACGTCAATTCATTTTTCTAAGAGCAGGGAGATGATGCCTTCTATTAGCGCTTCTCCGCAATAACCTTCGTTGGTCTCGGCGAGTGGAACACTTGACCGAGGCGGCAGTGTCACAAAGTCAGCAAGCACACGGACTGCGTCTGGCGTTGATTTTCGTACATCTCGTGATGGAACGGGTTTTTTGGACGTCAGCTTGTTCTTACCTAGGTCGATGACCGCGCTAGGGCCGTTCCAAAGGTAATATGATAATATCCCTGAAGCAGTCCGGCAGCATGATAAATATCACTGGGCAGGTTTCGCGGTGTATCTCGACGTATGCGGTGTACGCTCTTTCCGGTCAGCGTTATCAGCGTTTCTTATCGCTTCTTATCGTTTCTTATCTGAGGGCCTGGGTCTTCCCACTACGTCATCACTTTCCAAAGGCCGGAGAGAGAGCGTCCTTTTCCCACTCAAGACGGAAGAGTCTGCACCGGTATCGATTAGCGCCGTCGCGTCCTGGCCGTCGATGACCACGTTGACGTTGTTAGACACCTTTGCAAATGCGCCGCAGTTAGAATGGCAGCTCTCCGCATTCTTGGAGGCTCTACCTCTTTGGCAACGCTACCTCCAGGCGTTGCCGCACTTAGTTTTTTTGACGAGACACGGCGGACCTGCAGGCTGTCACGGCGAGAGCGGCAGAAGGGCGAAAGCGCACGTCGATGTGATGGCGAACGGGAACCTCATGGTAGAGTCGGCACCAAGGACAAAAGTCGCCGGAAGTACTTCGCGATGTCTCTTGGTCGCTCCCCAATGTGAGGTAGCGGCTCACGGGTCACTCGGTGCAAAACTTCGGAGGCCCATTTGTCAGTATTGGCAACTCCGGTAGACGTGGTCAGCATCGCCGCAGTGATAACAACGCAGTCGTCGATCGGCCGTGCGCCGCACATTCGTCTTTTAGACACCCGTTATTCGGTGCGGACGAGCTGGGACTGCCCTTGCCGAGAACGGGAAGTCTGCGGCGCTGGTAGGTCACGTCAAGGCGGCGTCGAGTACTGCCCGGCAGCTGGCGCCGGTCTCCGAGCTACTGTGGTGTAGGTCAGGGTGTGCTCCTAGCGTGCTACGCTGGCAGAAGCCTCCTCTTAGAATGCCCGCTGAACTTACTCTCGGATAACTTTGGCTATCGGCAGCGAAACCGGCTGGTTGGTAGCAGGTAGGAGCTTGTGAGCTCTTCCCGGACGACGTCGCGAATGATCTCGCGTAGGCCTGGGATGCTGGAGCCAAGGTAGCAGTTAGACGGCCCGAGGGTAGCGATGCCGGGTAGTCGCTGGTAGTGAATGGCTCGGGTTCGCAGGGCAAGTTCGATGTTCGTTGCCTCGGTGACGAAATCATCGAATGTTGTGGGAGTGCTGCGGACAAGACCGCCGAAGATTATGTCCCTCACGCCCCGCATGAAGATTCACAGCTTCTCTTCTTTAGCCTGAGGCTCGGCGCGGGTGCTTTGGCGCAGAACATCCTCCACGAAGCCGGTGACGCTCTTGTCTGGGCCCTGGGTCCGTGTTGGTTAACAAGCGTCCCCTTTAGCTCTCTCTTCAAAGCGTCCCACGATCTAAAAGAAGATTAGTGATTTTCGTACCAGCGCCTGGTAGCCCCTCCAGCGAGAAAAGAAATACACCTTTTGCAGAAGCTGATGGTCGGTCCAGCAATATGGCGCTCGACTTGTTCGTACTGCTCACTTGTTCGTACTGTTAAGTTCAATCTTCGACGTCTACGTATAGTTCCCTGTGGAACGGAGCAGCCTTCCGCAGTGCGACGGGCAGGTAAACGACGGCAGAAGTGACCGAGGTTTGCGACTGGTTGGCCATCGTCGTCTTCTTCAGCTTGGGCTTGTCCACCAGCAGACCAAAGACAGGAGCCTGTCCCTGGGTACGGCGACTGGCCGAGTTTCAGGTTCCTCGAAGAGCGGTCTTCTCATCCGGCTTGGAATCGGACTTGGTCGAGGGGTCCGCGGGGGCGAATGAGTAAACTTGGGCAAAGGGTGCTACCGCGCACCTGCACGATAATGTCGCAAATTCCAGATGCTGAGGCAGGAGAAAACTCAGTTAACTAAAGATTTAATGGCGGGCGAATTTGTGCCAAAATAAAAAGGAACGATAAATGGGCGTCGCGGGCGTTGATGTGGGCGTGGCAGAAAGATTGAGCGCTGGCAAATGACTATCTGGAAGGGGCGCGCTACAGCTGCTTTTATAGCTGCCTCGGATTGCAGTATGCTCTGATCTAGAACACACAACAAATAACAGGATTGATCTGAAAACTCCCAGAGCAGGAACAGAAAGCAGAACTAAAATAAACTGCGGGATTCGAACCCGGATATTCGGCGCGAGATCCGTGCGCCTTGCTGACTCGGCTATGCACGCGGCAACACCCGTGTACTCAGCAAGCTCAGTCTTCCAGGTATTCGCGACTCCAGCGACCTATAGGGGACACCACTATCGGGCAAATATGGCGGTCGAATCCAGGTCGTCCCGTGCCATGTGCAAGCTGAACGCACAACGCTGGGGCACCAGCAAGTAAGCATTAGACTCGAAATTGGTTCCCCCGCGTTTGATCTTCCACGTTTCGAACCTGCCGCGATGTGTTGGGGTAAGCGAACTTCCAGAGGCTTGGCTTTCTTCGAGGAAATGAGGAAAGGACTGCCCACTCCTTCCACGGTGCTGGTGAACGTTGAGAAACGCAGGATGTCTGGCTCACGCGGTTACATGGGTCGCGTGCAGAGCAACCTGGGTCACAAGGCGATACTGTTACGACACAGTCACCGGTAGAACTGTTCTGTCGCGCAAACCACCGACAACATGTAAACACGCAAGCCAGGAGAGGCGGGCCGAAATCCCGAAGGGACCTTTTCCGGCCAGTTTAGTGTTTTCCCGATAGGTGCCGTTCGTTTTGCTGGAGTCGCGAAGAAAAAGCACCATCCTCCACAAAAAAAAAAGACAAGACAATTTTTTACGAATTGAAATCCCGCGAAAGCTCTATTGGAAAGTCGGGTTCCAGAAAAAAAACTGAAATCGCAGTTGACGCAAATACTTTACTACTATAATACATTCTACTACGCTCGTTTTCATTACATAGCGCGACCACAGCACCAAATATCACCCTACCAGTGGGGTGAGTTCGCTTCCGAGAGAACGCACGCGCATCGCGCTGTCTACCAGTCGCGCTTTTGCGCTGCACCGAAATACCGACGCACCGAGTTACCGGATTTGCCAAGACAGCACAGACGGCTGTCTCCTCTGTTAAAGTGTCCACGACGAAAAATGGCGACAGCCGCCCCTCTCAATTCAAAGAGAAAAACTCCGTGGCTTTGCGCGTCTATCCGTTCCTACTACGCAAATGCTGTCAGCGCCAAGGCCATCCAATTTTCGCGGTTTAAGATGTGTTTGCTAGTGAAGTATATTGGTTGAAGTAGCTCCTAGACAGGAGGGTCATTTGCCAACCAACCTTTGTTTGTAGATGACCAAGACTGTAGTTAATCATTTTAAAACTTATTTGTTTAATTAAGCTTGGCACTTATCTCTACGTTATTATCATGCAATTTGACATAGTTTTCTTTGGAAACAACCGCTGAAGACAAATTTCGATAATGACATAGGAGATACAAGAGTCATCTTGGACTTGTAAAAGCAAGTAAACTTTGCGAAATAAAAGAGTAAAGGATTATAGCGACCATAACGTTCAGCACAAGCCGGTCTACAAAAGGAGATGAAGAAGAGGCGGGGCTCGCGCGGCCGGGCATATAAAAGCAGTTCGAATCCTACTGCTGTTTGTACACGGGGACTATGTTGCATGTTTTGGACTCCCAGGAGACTAGGGAAACGGAAGTGACGTAGGTGTGAATGAACGTATCTTAGCAGCACCACGCAACGCGTCATCAGCGACTCCACCAATCAGCATCCAAAGAGCGTTGTTGACATCACTTCCTTCTCCCTAGTCTCCTGGGACTCCAAAACGTGCAACATAGGTTGCTCTCAATCCAGCTCCTACAGGCTCTTAGAAAGAAGGCAAGACTTTCTCATTTATCTGATGACAATTAGATCTTATGGAAGTATTATTCGGAGAGAATGGCTTCTAGATCATCCATTTTCTGCTTTGTGGAAAGTTTACGGTTGTTTAATTTGGAAACGTCGCCACATGGCAAAATACGCACGGATTTAATAGGAGACTTTTAGGCTTAGGTTGGTGTCGTTTATTGAAACCTAAATATGAAAAAAAACAGACACTCACGGAAAAGCTTTTCGTTTGTTGGTAGATACCGGAAAAGAAAACCGTTGTTAAAAATACATTCATTAAAAAAAAAAAAAAAAACATATGGGCACTGTGTATCTTTGGATGGTTAGCTGAATGGTTGGATGAATGCATACACACCTACCGCAGAGCGCTTTAATCAAGGCAGTTGCTAGCGGAACCTTTTTTTTTCAGTGATTTTATTAAAGAATGTGTTTTATCAACCGTATTTAATGAGAAGCCCGTCACAAAGAACGATCAGGTCGATTTCCCCGCTACATTTAGAGGGTAATTCGGTGTGACGTGACCCCGTCTTGTTACATGATGTTACGTAATGTCAATTTCTGCAATGTGGTATTCCGCACTCAACACATTTTGAGAACGCTCTCCGGGTCTGTCAACATGGTGAAGATTTTTTTATATATTTGAACAGTTGATCGCTACTCCTTTATTTTATAAGCGAATTGTTGCGCGGGCTCTGTCCCAGGGCTCGTGACCAACAACTTGGCAATACGTTCCAAACCTAGGTTGTGTACCACCTTTTTTTTTTGTACCCTTTAACGTATATTTTCAGGTATGGCACTAATAGGTGGAGCCTGCACGACGTATGCAAACTATGCAGTTGCTGAAGATCGAGGGCAAATGTATTTTGGTATTTACTATGTCACTCACGAGTTGGGCCATTCGTAAGTGTTTTGTTCTCTTGCTTGCTTGACTTGGTTTTAATTATTAATATTGGGTAATATCGTTAATTAACAACAAAAACACGGATAGAGGAGAGGAACGCGTAGACGACAGACAAGTGCACTCTCACAACTCATACATATTGGAAGAAAAGAAATCATGAGCCATTCCACTTTCTGAAGGTGGATGACCAGCGAAGCTGTTAAGCACAGGAGACAGACGTGACAGAGTTTAGTATATGCTCTATTAAAGTTGTCCAATTTAGCAGCATGGCACCTGCGTCTTTTTGATGCGTTCTCCGACCCGCGACGTTCGTTGTCTCGTCCGGCTTGCCGCATGCCCTTGGCGTTTTGTGCACAATCTTCATCGGCGGTGTTTGCCACCCGACGCCGCCGCTGACATTCTCGTTGCCGTTCCCGCCGTTGCTCTTCGGGAGTTTGGACTATACGCAGCCTCCCCATTACGACGAGAGAAGAGAAATAGACCTATTGCTAAATTACTCAAGCATCAAAGAGAACGCAGGGAATGGTGTTTCACGCGCCGCACGTACCAACGTCTGCAGCAGTAACTTTTCTAAACCAAAAGCCTAAAACAAATGGCATCTTGTACGCGTGTTCGTCAACGCTTTATTCAGGTTATTTACTTCGAATCTTTCATGCGGGGCAGGCGTGCGCGTGCGGCGCGTGCCACGGTGCGAGCGTAAAGCTCTTTGGTGACGCACACGAAAAAAGTCACGGAACTCTAGCCATAAACAGCTTCGCTGTAAAAGGAAAGACACAAGTATTAACGGCAAAATCAGATAGAGCGATGGCCGCTCAGGCACAAGGGCACACGAGCTTGAGGGAGGCACACGGATTCTTTCCAATACATGCGAGTTGGTTTTGTTCGCTTGTCTGTCACCTACGTATTTCTCTCCTCCGTTCTGTATTTTATTTGTGCAACTTCAACAGTGTTTATCCAGTACCAATTCGCCTAACTGACCCCCTTGCTACAGTCTTGAAGAAGTTATTCATAAAAAAATTGTTGCAGTTACGGTTGCTATTATATAAAAGTACAGAACTTACTGTTACGGTTACTGCAACGAAGACGTAATTTGTTACAATTACGTTTAGTTTTAAAAGTTCAAGGCATTACTTTTAAGTAACGCCGTTACTACCAAAGAGCATAAAAGAATAAATCCCCCCCCCCCCCCCCCCCCCCATTTTAATAGAGGAAGTGCAAGCAAATTTGGCGCAAGTTCGTGCAAAACGGACATGACACTCAAAATTAAGAGCACGCCATTTGAGAAGTGCAAAAAAAAGCTAGTAAATGCTCGTTCAATGTCTGAATGGCGAACAAGCTGTAGAAAGTGACGAGAAAAATAAGGTGTTTACTCCCGTCGTTACTGCATCAAGGGTAATAGAACCTGCAGTAACAAACTATATCTCGAAAAGATGGCGCATTACAATTAAAAGTTACCAAAAGAGTAGTGAAGGTACGGTAACGAATTACTGGTAACGTATACGCATTAATGCCCAAGACTGACAATGGCTAGACGCCCATCGGAGCCGACCAACCTTCCGTTGCCTAACGATAACCACAACACAATTTACGGTCGCTCTTCTTTAGTCTTACGTCCTGTTTTGTTCTTTAGGTACGGTTGTGGTCACGATGGCGATGGACCGGTCGAATATATTGCTGGCCACAAGGGCTCCCAGGATAAAGACTGCGACCCCAGTAGGGGCTTCATCATGAGCTATCTTGATGGCGGAGCCAGGAAATTTTATTTTTCTAGATGCTGTTTGCGAGATATGCGGAATTTCTTGAGGTATTTCTTGACTTTTGATTGCCATATTTCGGTGTGAAATCGATGCTTACCTCGGAGGTGCCATTATAGGCAGCAAAGACTCTTTGTAACGGGGCGTAGGCGAAGATTTAGAATTAAGTAAGAATAGACAACCGGCGCTAGGGTACCTGACAGCTCAAGGAATACGGTGCGCGGTTTGATGTGTTGATGCTTCTTGCTTAGGCGTGAAACGTTCACGGGTGTTCTTCTGGGCTAAGGCCGTGATCTGATTGGCTGCGTAGCTATAATAAGATTCTCGGAGCTAGCCACCCTCTGTGTTTTCTTAAGGTGTCTGTAGCCGATAATACATCAAAAACCGAAGAAAACGGGGAATGCAAGCTATCTTTCTTACCTTCTTTTTTTTCAATTAGTTTTTTTTTTGTCTTTGCTTAAGGCAATAGTGGTCTCACTGCGACAATATCCCAATTTAACGACAAAGGCCTTATTCATAATAGGACAGCAGTTCTACTGTCTCACAGCCGTCTCAGACAATAGAATAGCGCGCGAAAAGCTTTGCGTACACAAAGGATCATCGTCGTCGCAACTTGGCATGCGCCGAACGCTAAGCACGTTTTGTGCTTTTCGTGCGCTATTTTAGCGCACGGTATTTTTCGGAAATTGCGCGCGTATGCAAAGAGTCTTTGCGCTCCTCCAAAGTGGATTTGTATTGAGAGGTTGGCTAAAGCCAAGACGAGCACAGTTGAAAATTGGCGGCTCCCAGGACCATGGCTACGGCCACTTTGGCGGCGTCGCAGGAGCGACGTCGGCGGCATCCTCGCGACTGCGATTTTCAATACGGGACGACATTGCACTCGGTTTGGAAAACCCAGCAAGGTGGGCAACCATCACCGGCAAGTTGATGCTTGCGACGCGCGAACATTTCTCTGTGGAGGTCAGTACACGAGACCTCTCTTGCCGAGGCGACGCATGCGGACACGACCGGTCAACCGCTCGCGTCGCATTCTTCCGTTTAAACAAATGTAAAATGTTACTCTCCACCAAAAAACTTGCTTTTTTTTTCTCTCAAGTTACAGCATTTCGTGTGTAAACTAAAAATTGTGATTTTATCTCGGTGGCGTTGCAAGCGCGAGATGCTTGGGCTTTTGCGTCGTGACGGAGAAACGCAATTCAAAAACTCTCTTGCTTAACGTGCGCTGACGCGAGCACTAAATTTTACGCCAGCGTACGCTAAAATTGCGTACGTTATACTAAAACTTCCTAATGAGGCAGGAGTCCTACTCTCTTAACGTGAGAATTTTACTGACAAGAGGGTAGAAATATCAGTTTGTTTTTAGTCCATCAATTTTACGACTACAATAAATGCAAAATAATAAGACATGTTTACGGGTTGCGGTGACGCGACAAACGTGAATTCCCAATGTTCGCATTTATTATGTTTTCTTCTCTCAATTTCTGATTTCATTACTAACATGCGACTTAGTTTCAATATGCCGAAAATGTTCACCGTAATTCCGACTGTGAAACAGATCCGTCAATATTTTTATCTTTTCTGGGAAGCACAAACACAGTCCTCTGAGATTACAACGTGACGCCTGATGAAGGAGTTGATCTAATGGAATAATAGCTTAATAAGTAACACAAAAATCTACCCGCGTGCACCAGTTAACGAAACTACCACCAAAAGAAATGCTGACATCAGCTTATGTTTCAGCTAATGTTATCAGATCGAAGCAAGAGAGAGAAGGTTCATAAATTAATATATACTACACTCAAAGGACCCGCTGCGTTTGTTTCTTTTTCTCCGCAAAGCACTTGGGACATTACAAAGGACGGAGCTTGGCGGATGGTGAGGCAAAAAAACACGTTTAAACCTAAAAAAAAAAAAGATTAGCGGTCGTCGCTATCATGATAATTATAACCTGTCAAAAAATTATGTAAAAAAATTGGTAGATAACGTCGACTGGCTGTCTCACTGGGTTTGTAGGGAAGGAGTTTCACCGGATTTGTTACAATGTAGAAAGATGCCTCGGGAAAGCTTTACGAATCTTCGCCCTCTGCCTTCTTATATTTCAGCAACCAGTCAAAAAGCTGCTTCAATAATACATTTGGCCAGGACATGATGGAGATGTACCCGAATTTTCTCCCAGCCAGCGTCACCACCGTCTCCCGATACTGCGAGGCAAGGTACCCAGATATGACTGGTGTCCGCCATGAACCGGTAATTAAGGTTGATCCTAACTACAAAATAAGTTGGAGGCCTAGTTGGATCAACATCATAAAAAAAATTAGCACGACAAAGGACAAGAAAAAACAAGAAAAAAAATAATCGGTAATAATAATTGGGGTTGTATGCACATTCATACAGCGTGTAGCTGGTCAGTCACTTCAAAGTTGCGACGGGTCACCCGCTGTACATGAGCCATTTAGTCATTGCAGTACAACCGCTGGCCTGGGGTCTTTAACGTGCACCACGCAGTAGTGATACACGACCGTAGGGCGGTACGGTGCTCATCCAGATCGAGATGGGCAGGGGTGGGGTTTGAACACAGGATCCCTGGGTCCTGCAGCGGGAGCTTTCGCTCCGCGTGCTGCTTTCAAATGACGTTTTAATTAGAAAAATAAAGGATGGAAAGGACGAAGATAAATTTTTATGACGATATAAGAAAGTAATCTTTTTTTCTCGACCTTTTTTTTTTCAATTTTTGACATACTTTGTCTTTATGCTTTTTGTTTGTTTCTTTATACTTAGCTTTATATTATATCAGTCCTTCCGAATCCCTTCCTTTTCCTATCTTATCTTTTTATCTTTTTTTATAAATTTATCTTCGCCCTTTCCTTCCTTTATTTTTTATTAAAACGTCAGTTGTAAGTACCGCTTACTCTATCCTGTCCTTCCTTGTGCTTTGTCTTTTGAGCTAGTATTTTGTTATTACGTTAATTTCTACTACATAAAAAAAAAAAATCTGGTCCTAAAAAAACTCTTAGGGGTTCTTCGGCTTCCCCGTAGTTTGCACCCTACAAAAGATTTCTCGTAAAAACAAAAAATAAAAAAATAAAAAAAAACTATAAGGAGTTTCTTTAAGCTCCTTTTTTGATGGGAAAAAGTTCCTTATCTCTCAATTGCTTTTCTAGTGTGCCAGGGGACGATAGCACTCGAGAGAAAACCGTTTTTTTTACGAGCTGAAAGACTTCTTTGGGTGTCGAAAAAGCCTTTCAAGATCATAAGTTTTCTTTTTTGTTGTTGTTTTGTTTAGAGAGCGAGCCGCGTACGATTATCGTCACAAGGCAGTCATCCTCAAGTCTACGTCAACATTGAGGTCCGCGCGACTATTACCACGCTATGTAAAGAAGACACTGAAAAAAAATAAATAGTCCGCTTTTCTCCGAATTTTATCGTGACAAAAAAAGGGTTCTAGGTCGATCAGTAGCGTTACGTTACACTAAAGTTACAGAGAGCTCCAGTAGAGCAGAGCGAGTCGAATTCCGAGCATATTGTTATCGCTGCACAGCCAATGAGATTAAAGCATCAGCCAATAAGAACGTCGAAGGGTCAATCAGGAAGCAAGAAGCCTGAACATATAAGAAGCCACACTCAGCCTTGACCAAGCTTGCAGTGACCATGCGGAGCGCAAGCCAGAAGTGTGTCAAGTGAAACTGCCCTACAGTGAATGTATGCTTGTTTAAGGCGAGTATTGTTGAACGGCTTCCCAAAAGCAGACAGTTCCCACCTAGTATATCCTTTATATGCCATCCATTTTCCGCTTTTCTCGGTCATCTCAGCAGAATACCCGTGTATCGCATGAAAACTAGGCTACTGGTCACGGCAACGTGAATTGTGCCTCTTCCAACTTCTGATGCAGGACGTGCTGAAGGAGGCGGATTGCCTGGTGGTTTGTTCAGGCACTAATAAAGATAAGTTGAAGAGATCCTTCGTTACCCAGGCTCAAGAAGGCATGATCTGTGCAGTAGGAAAGGTAAGGAGAATGCGCACAATCAAAATCAAAGTGGAGCGACCTTTCATAACAATAATAATAATATATTTCTTCACCATCTACAAGCATGGTGGGAAGCTGTGGAGAAAAGCTGCCCAGGGAGTTTGATTGGTACACATGCATGTACACAGCAGTAGTGCAAGAGCTATCAGGGGGAGGGGGGGGGGGGGGGGGATTGGGGTCCTGGCGATAGGTATGGTATATTGCAACTCAAGAAGGGTAGAGCGAGGGAACGGGAGGCCGGGGAGGAGGAAGCAGACGGAACACTGGAGAGAAGAGGAGGTTTCCTCTCTCCTCTCCCGCGTTCCGTCTGGTTCCTTCTGCCCAACTTTCCTTTCCCTCGTCCTACCTTCTTGAGCTGTAAACTAACATAGTGCTTGTATGTGTATTCGAGGGAGAGAGGGTGAAAGAAAAAGGAGTCGAAGATGCTTTGGAAATTAATACCGCTCAAAAAGAGTGTAGCCGATTGGTTCTAGTTGTGCCATGTGCTGCGGCAGTATTATTATCTAGCTTTTTGGAGCTATACCAATTGAGCTCAGCACTATACGCTTAATTAAGTTACACACTGATCGTATACAGCTGTTGTTATCCAAATCGAGACCAACAAACTTGACCAAAAAAGAAATCAGATCTTTACGAGGACAAGGGGTACTTTCTGGAAAAATCTTACTTTCCAGTCGATGTTCAAAGAATATCGCTTATGAACCGCTCATAGACATTTTTTTTTTAATGAGATGCACGAGTGAAGAAGGCGCACGACGTCACTTTTGAGTGGTCGAGTAGCCGCAGACGCAGAAAGTATTGCGATATTCTTGACACCTTAAAGAGAGAATATCTCGCGTTAACCGAGAGAAGCTCTCAGACACATTGTGGAGGATGACACAAGCGGCACACAGATTTCGCTCCCGAAAACCTGCAGCAGATACTAGTTTCTTCACTAAGTACAGGTTCTTCACTGCCATAACAAACGTTTAATGTCTTCTAAACAATCGAACCAATCACTCCTAAAGACTGAATTTCACGAATTAAAAGACTTTAAAAGGTAAATGTAGGTGACCCTTTTTTATTTACCTTTTCATCATTTTTCTGTCGTTATTTTTTTGTTGTTATCATTCATTCCTTTCTTTCAACTTTCATTTTTTTTCTGTTTCTTAATTTATTCTCTCTTTCTGTGTCTTTTTGCAGCTGAGTTGTGCCTTCATAACTACCATCTTTGCCAACTGCATACTTGCCTCTCTTTCAGAGATGCATCAAAGGACAATGCACTGCGGGTTAGGAGGAATTCACCCACTCGTCACTCAATTAGCGAATTTCGCTACGCAAACCTGAGTTTCAAGAATGCACCAGAGTATTGATTCGTCTTGTGGATCATTATGAATATGTAATGAAGGTCGTACAAGCCTTGGAGTTTCGTCTTGGAGGGCTCGAGATTTTTAATAAAATTCAGAAATATGACAATTTTGACTCTTTTGAACATATTTTAAGGCAGTTTTGATAATAGAATTACGTAGATTATAAAAATGACAAAACTAATGATATTACGTGCTGGAGGTTTCTGCTATCTTAATTTTAAGACCCTGACGGGAAGTCTAAATGCCTTAGTATTGCTGTGTGTGTTTGAACAAATTTAACAAGGCAGTTTTCGCTAGATCTTGTTTTCTTCAGCAGGTTCAATTAGGTGGCGACACCTAGCACCAAATTCCCCAAGCCAGAGCATTTGTTGTTTCCGTTCTCACGTCTAGCATGGATGGCGACTCACATCACGAGTATTTTGCTTGACATCGCCGCGATCAGTTTCGCCATTTTGCCGGAAAATGAACTGTGTTATTTCTGTCTGCTGACCCCCCCCCCCCACACAAGAAAAATAGAACCAATGAGAGGCGACGCATGTATGACGTAGAATTTCCATGGTAACATGCTGTGGTCTCGATGCCGTGCGATGAGCTTTCAGTTCACTATTTTAGAGCGACTACGTCTGATTCCACAACCTATGCATGCGGTCAATCTAGCGACAAGAACGTGTCACGTAACCTCGCGCTCCGCGATTACCTAGGTCCCACCGAAGGGTCACAGACCCCCAGTAGAGCCCCTTAATCTGTTTGTTTGTCTTGCAAACGGCATCAAGTCATTAAATACACGAATGTATACGAGCCTGTGCCTCGTGCGCCACTTGGAAACAAATGGTGGCGCGGCCCTATAATGAGCGGCTGAAAGGAAACTGCGGTGCGACTCTCGCTCGTGGTCTCGTGTAACGTCTTTCTTGCGTTCGCCAACAGTAGTTGTCAATGCTAGCGGGAAGCGCCAAGCGTAAATTTTATCCAGGGACTTATGCTCAGAGCGCCGGTTTGGCTTCCTTGGCTTCTATCGGCCGCATCACAACTCGGTTATTTTTTGGCCCATCCAATGTTTGTGAAAAAAGAAAACACTTTCGCTTGGCGTATTTTAACATGAGAGCTCAGAACCTATTACAATTAATTGTCGATTTTTGTAGAAAGTGTCATTTTTTCACATTCAATACGTGCGTAAACCAGGGTTGGTGTTGATGATGATGATCCGGTGACAACCGTGGATGTGGTCATACAACTCATCTCTTCGAGTCTGCGGCGTCGGGTAGTTCAAAAGTCAAGAAGACGCATGTTCGGCCGAGTTAGCGCTATACATGGCTTGCACGTAACGTCCTTCCCCCATACCAATGTGCATTGTACTTCTTGCAAAAAAGAAGAAAAAAATAAATCGGACATTACATAGTTTACACTAGATACAAGCTCCAGCACAATGGCAACTTGGGTGACGTCAGTGCATGCCAGGGAACCACTGCGCTCGTGCCTTCGGCTTCGCTTGCACGTAGGGTGAAATAGAACCTTGAGTATCTAGACGCTTTACTCGTAGATACGCGCCAGATTACAGAAGCCATTGCTGAGTTCCTCGTGTCTTCCCGAGATCCCGAGCCACTGAAACGGACGATGACGACCCTTACCAAGAGCCAGTGCTGAGAAGGACACAGCAGAATAAAATATGGCAATGACCTGACCTGCTATGGTAATGATAAAGTGGAGGAACATGGATAAAAGAAAACAAAAATGGACACTCTATGTTTTGGCGCCGGCCACGCAGAGCTGCCGAGACAAGCAAAAGTCCGTGTAATTTTGCAAACATAAAAAATAGACCACTGAATAGCCGAGATGTATCACTCAGTCGCTACAAGTCATCATTTTTAATCCAGCCCTGGAAGGGATGTGACTGTGCGGGTTTTCCTTGCGATTCCCGGAGCTCTAGGTCACGAGATGCTGAATTGACTGTGATAGGTACTCTGGAATCGCTCACGGCCTCGGCCGCGGTCACATTAGCGGCGAGATGTTTTGGTGGCGCCCTCCTATGGTTACCTCTCGTGACGTCATTACCTTGCGAGCAACAAGTTTGGTGGTGTTTGTAATTCGCATGGTGGAAGCTTGAAATCAATGCGCTCTCAAAGGAACACTTCCAACACCGTAAAAATTAAAGTTCGTACCTTGCTCTTATTTCTGTCGATGAGAAATCTTTTGCTGATGTCATAGTCAGCATTCGGCCAATCGTGGAAGGCCGAACCCAGCGACGCTTTTGATCGCTCACTTCGCCATATTCAAGGAGAATGCAGGGATTGGTGTTCCACGCGCCACACGCGCACGCCTTCCCCGTATAGGGAGTATTCACTGGCGGCCATAGCTGTGTGCGCGAATGCTGAGCGCGTACTGATGGCGAGCATCCACAGTTCTTTTGCAACGTGCATTCCGCACCATAAAGACTGCCGGTCTTAGCCGCCTATTGATGTGAGCTCGTTTTGAGCATGCGCTCTAAACAGCACCCACAAATCTGGCGTTTAGTGAATACTCCCTATAGAAGATTGAAATTAAATAACCAAAATAAAGCGTTGACGAACGCGCGTGTAAGATGTCATTCTACATAGCCATCAAGCTCCCGGAGACCCTAGACCCCCTCCCCCCAAGCAAGGCCTCCTGGGAGGTGATTAGCGTCACGCAAGGTGCGAAACCCCTTTCAAGAAATATGGACCCGGAGCGGCACAAGGCCCGCAGGGAAAGGTACGCTCAACAGCACAAGAAGGAGGTCAAGGAGCTGTTGGCAAGCCAGCACAACACAGTGGTGTACGTCGATGGAGCGACAAAATGCAAGGAGTATGCCGCAGGAGCAGTCTTCTACAAAGGTGAGGGGTCAACTCCCTTTGAAATTGCCACTAGCTGCGGACTAGGCACGGAGGTCACATGGGACACGGTAGAAGAAGCAGCTCTTCTGTTCACGTTTGGGAGTATACGGACACCTCCCCGGCAAGACGAGAAACCTCGCCATCTATACGGACTCCCAGGAGGCGGTACGAAACATGTACAAGCTCAAGGCAACTGCAAGCCCAAAGGCACACGCTTTCTTCGACACGGCGCTCAGTCTCTACCGGGAGCACGGCACAAGAATCAGTGTACGATGGGTCCCGGGACACCAGGAGATCTCAGGAAACGACATGGCTCACGCAGCTGCACAGTGCGGGATGAGAATAATTCCTCAGTTGCCATCCCAACAGGCGTCCAACTGCGAAAAGTCAGTCGAACAGCCAGAAGATACGGCATGCTATGACGCCGTCGAAGAGCTGCGTAGATGTCTCAAGATGCGAAAGATTCAGCTGCCGGAAAAGTGGCAGCCCGAGGACTACCCGCTTCCGGCGAAAACCTTCAAGCGAAAGGAAACGGTTCAACTTCGGCGCATCCGTACCGAAGGCGCGGTCACGCCAAGGCTCAAGTACCACATCAACCTCTCGCAATTACGACGGATGCAGCCCATACGCGGTCCCTCCGGACTCGTGATGTCAGAGATGCAAGGATCCAGAAGCCATTCCCAGGCTAGACCATCTCCTATGAGAATGCCAAGCTCTATGAGAATGCCAAGCCTTGTGCAGAGTGAAAGCCGTCGAGACGCTACCCGAAGAAGAAAGACCCAAGATACTCGTGGATTGAGCGCACCCGCAGGGCGAAGCCCAACACCGGACGAGGATCCTCGAGTCGCTTCTGGACTTCGTAGCCAAGACAGATCTGGGGGACTCCATATGAGAACCCCCCTCCTGACCCATCGCACCCATAATCACGCAAGAACGAGGCTGCCAGATCCGAGGATCACCGCGGCGCAGATAATCTTTCTATTCGTAGTTCTTGGTTTCCAATAAACGTTTTCTACCTACCTACCTAAAATGCCATTTGTTTTAGGTATTTACTTCAGAAAAGTTACTACTGTTGACGCCAGCACGTGCGATGCGTGGAACAGCAATCCTTGCATTCTCCTTAATGCTTTGGTAATATAGCAATAGGTCTATACTCCTGAAAGCGAAAGGAAGGCGCGCGGCAGCGCCATAAAGGTATTGTGCCTTGCAATGGCATCACAACCTCCTACATGCAAAGTCTCAAAACCGTTCTCTATACGCAAATGAAATCTCGCAGTTCTCCGGCAAAGCCGTTGGATAAAGCCGATCTCGGCCGCATCCGATGTCAAGCAAACGGCACGCGCTACATGTCGTTCGCTAGACACCATTTTCTGTGTCCAAAGAAGCCCATTCATAGTCCCATAAAATAGAGGCTACGGCCAAAGCTTCTGGCCTCCCTGCACTCAGCCTGTGCACTGCTCGAATCTGTACACGTGCACTCTTCACTTTCCCGCGACGCTGGCAAGCAAGTTGTATTGTCGCTTTTCACTAGCACCAGATTACAGCCGCCATTGCTGATCTCCTCTTGCCCTATATCTGGCGCGAAGCCAGCGAAGCGGGCGTTGGCAAGATTCCACCACGGCCCTGCTTCCATAAAGTCTAATGTTGGGGAGAAGGCAACAGTACCATCTAAAATGATTATAACCTGTCCTGCTGTGGTCATAATGAAGTGAAGTAAACGTAAGAAGAGGGAAGAAAAATGAAAGGTCGGTTATGGCGGCGCCCATGCACAGCTGCTGCAATGCGTCTATTGGAGCCCGCACACACCTTTCTTTTTCTGAAATGACAAAAATAAAATTTGCTTCTTGTTTCGAACGGAAAAAAGAGATTTTTGTGGAGCTGTAGGAAACGGAGGTCAACCCCTTTGTATGTACAGTTTCTGTAGAATGTCCGTTTTTTTTTTTTTAGCTGGGACTGGGAGTGGAAAGCCCCAGGAAAGCCCAAGTGCGTCACAAAGGTCATTCAGTGCGAAGTTTGAGGGAGCAGAATGTAACTTTCTAAGTCCTTCGTTCAGATTAGCCCCCTCACGCACACACACA